TTGCCATATCTTTGACTCAGAAACGGAGGTATATTTCCATACTAGTCTGTGTTTCAAGGGGCGTCCCTAGAGCCACCATTACACGGGAAGAGCCAATCTCTGCTGTTCCACTGGTCCTCACCACCCAGGCTTTTCCACACAGTGGGATGTTCTCCAGCGCAGCAAAGGATTCCACATTGGATAAAGTTCACTGTATCATGGCAGTCGCATTCAGCTCTTTATCTGCTGTCTGCTTTAATCTAAGGCCTATAGGTTTTCAGACCCTCCCACCCATTCCCGGCATTTTCAAGGTTGTTTGAGAGTCCTTCAATAATAAAGGCACTTCCCTGTCTTGCTGTCAGTTTAATGTTCCTTGGCTTAGACCTGTTTTTCCTGCACTCATTCCATCTATGCACCCCCTTTCCTTTCTTTTTTTTGCTGGCTCTCCCCACCACACACATATTTTTCCTCTTGGGACCCTCTGGCCTGTCACTGCCTTGTGTTTTGCAGTTCACGTCTACCCTCACCGGGTGGGGAATGTTTTTAAAGACCCTTGCAGACCTTTTGCAGGCGCTTATCACATCACCCTAAAGTGAAAGCTGACATCTTCCATGGCAGTGGGAAAGTATGCCTTGACTCAAAGCCTAGTTTCTTGGGTCTCTCCATGCACTCTTGCACTCTTCGACAACCCGTCTTGTCCCCTTTTTCTGAAAACTCTAGTGTTTTCAAGCGTAATTGCATTTCCTCACTAACAACCCATGAGCTGTGTGTGTCTCTGTCCATCTTTCCTCCTATCCCAAAGTTAAATGAAGCAAACAAAAATTGTTCCTGGTCAGGCTGTCTTTAGCATGTATCACCTCTCGACCCTCCGTGGTGAGCCAGATGCTGTGCAGGTCTCGCAGTTGCCTGCCTGCCAACTGGGTCAGTCTGTTGGCCTATCGGGGAGGAAGTGATCGGGCGGTGCAGAGAGCTGAAGCGTCTGTCTTTTGTTTTTCTTTTTCTTTTTTTTTTCTTTTTTTTTTTTTTTTTGCTTTCCTTTGCTTTGCTAAGGTTGGATTTGTGAGGGGAACTGCCGCCAGGTCTGTGTCGTAGGGGGAAGAGGGACATGCTGCCTTGGTTCAGCAAGAGTTTATGTGGTCTCAATCTTTCCTGAAGTTTCTATCTCACAGACCCAGCGATTTCCTGTTTCCTTCTTGCTGGCCCTGATCTTCATAGAGATAGTGCCAGAGTGAGAAGGCATTGTCTTAGGGCCAGCGAATAATTCAGCTAACTTGTGAGCACTTAATTCCAGCTGCTGGCAAAACATAAGGCTCCTTAAATAATCTCCTGTGAAGGTCCCAGGAATCTGTTACAATGCATGTTATTTGTGAAGACTGAAGCTGAAAAAAATTTATAACTAGATTGAACAGCCAGTTTAGCATATTACATCACCAAAGCCATGTGAAAAATTCCGAGCAGCCCCATGAAATAGACCGTAAATGCCTCCTATAGAGATTGGGGATTTTTTTTCTCTGAGGTTTATTTGTTGGTGGTGGTAGTTTTTTTAAACCTTCAGTATGTTCAAAGCTACATGGATGCAGTTTCAGCTCTGGAACCAGCGAGCATGAAAGGCATGAAATGTCCTCCTACACGCCTGGTAAAATGGAAATTCTTGTCTGTTCAGAAAGGGGCAAGTTTTTGATTGCTTTCAGGTTTTGGCTTCTGTCCTCCTTGAAGGTACCCATATAGCTTGTGCTGCCCACAGTTATGCTGGAACCAGCAGTTTTCCTCATTCAGTGCAGTACAAAAATGCCAAGGTTTTCTGCAATCACAAGTACTTTGCAAGTCAGGCTCATCGAGGCACTCAGAGTGAGCTGAAGAGACTCAGTACTCAGTGGGAAGAAAATGTAGATGGCTTGACTGAGACACAGAGGGATTAAGGGCTACAGCCAAGGTTACATGGGAAATCAATCTATCCTGCAGATCAGGGCTGGACGTCTTTAAATTGCCCATCAGCAAGTCAAGAGGGAATTGGATTGTGCTTTTAAAAAATTGAATGAGCTTCAAGTGAGGGAACGTGAGTTAGTAAAGCTGACTTTCTTCTGGGGGCACACATTTTGTCACCCCATAGCTCACTTTTGTGCACTCTCTCTCCCCCTCCTTCTCTCCCTCTGTCCCTCCCACACTCCAGGCTGGTCAGTTCCTCTTCCATTGCCACAAGCTGCCAGTACGCTTTGCTCAAGCCTTAGTCTCAGACAACAGTGATAAGCAGAAATATGTGTTCTGTTCCTCCCCAGTAATTTACTCTTTTTGCTCAGAAAGGAGACTATAAAGGTCTCCACCTGCAGTGCAATAAGGTGACATATTTACATCCCATAAGTGACCTTCCAGTGATAATTGCAAACCATCCTTTGTGCTGCAGCTGCCACTTGACTTTGTCTCCACTGAGTCATAAGCATCTCAGTAGTCACCTTGCATGACTTTGAGCATGTCCTCTGATTTTACACCAGCTTTGCAGAAACTCATCAAACTTCAAAGAGGGACGGATGCTATTCTGTTTAGGTTGCAAAGCCCTTCCCTCTCAGTCTTTACTCAGAGATCCCTTAGGGCTCCTCTCAGCAGACTGCCTCACCTGTGCAGGCCCTGGGAGTCCCACTGCTGTAGCCACTGAACTTCAGAGGGGTTTTTTGGAAAGGAAGAGAGAGAAAAAAAATACATTTTTCTGCTTCAGGACAAAAAGGGGTCAGAGATTCCCCAGGTAAGCTCAGAATTACATAAAGTTGTGTCTGCTTGATATGAAATTATCCTAAGGTAGTTTTACAGCAGTAATTCATGTTATAGAGAGTAGTTTTTGAAAGGTCCAATAGCTCCTATTTCTCTTCTTGTTAATAGCTTTAGGCATTTCCTGTAGATGGGAGCAGATCTTACTGTTTTTCAGTGCCATGTGAGTATTTGCATTAGTAGGGACTTTGTTCATATTGCCTGCAGTGGCTTTATTAAGTGTGGTGTTTCTACATTCAGGTTAAAAAAAAAAAAAAAAGGTAGAGTTATGCAGTGTTTTCAGATGTTATCTCATGCATAATGTTTTCAAATTTCGTTACAGCATGCAATTTAGTCCTTTCAGTAAGCTTGGTATAGGACTAGAACAAACCAGCTTTTCTGTCTTGTGCTTGTATAGCTGAAGAAAACATTACAGAAAAGGAAGGAAGTACAAATTTTGACTAGGTGAATAAAGAACAACACACAGATACATGGTCTACAGCTAAGCTTTACCTCACCACTACTGGTCATTCTCACTATACATCCTCCAAACACATGTCTGCTAGAAATGTATGGAGAGGCAGTGTTTTGGGGCTAGTTACAGGCTGTGTGAAATGGGCTCTGACGAACACCTGCTCTCAAACACCACATTTCTTCCGTTATGTGGCTTTAAGAGAAACCCAAAACCGTAGTTAGTGTTTCTTGTATTTAATTTGCAAAATAGACTTACAGTGCATACATTGAATACTGGCCATATGCCATAAAAACTATGCATCCTTTGGAAAGAAAAACTAATACCAGAATTATCTCACTGGAGACTTTTTTCCTCCCCTCCCCCTACGGAGTTACAAAGCTCAGGCAGATTGGGACTACGGTGCCAGTGGATCAGTAATGCAGAGAAAATTCTCATGCAAGATTTATAAAACAGTTTTGAACATGCAATGCCAAAAACGTGGGTAGAGGCACTCCTCACAAGTGTAAAGCCGTTATATCATGAGATTTCTCTGAGAGCTGCAGATTATTCCCATCTCTAGTCATCAGTTCAGAGCAATTGCTGCTATCCAAAGCTCACTTACATCAGCTGGGAAATAACTATTACTTTGAAACTCCATGGTGATCTGCTTTTGATTGAGCTGCTGCTTAAAGAAAAAGCAGTAAGCAAGACAATGAAATGAGACAATGACAACAATTATAGATAGCTACAAGCCCACTTGCTACGATATCTACCTTCATAATTGAATATAAAACATTCCATTAGCCAGCAGGGTAGCAAAATGGGGTTTTTGTCAGAAACGCTGCAGACAATATTCCTTTTTTTCCCTTCCAAATTAATGCATTAGCTTTCTGAGCTTGAGGACATCCTTAGAGTGCTTGTCTCAGAAGCAGGATGAAGTCTTTTAATAAAGTAAAAGAACACAATGGTGGATAGGCTGTCACCAGGAATAAGCTTAATAGTGAGTTTACCTGTTAAGACTCACAAAGGCTTCAGAATGTGCATCACTGGATAGATGGGATTCACTCACTCACGTTTGTCACATCTTATGTCTTGGTATGCCGTAGCTTGTCATGTCAGGCATCTCCTTTGGGCTAATAATCCAGGCTCCTTTCAAGCCAGTGAAGAAGGAGAGGCTCTTCCATGCGGCAAATCTCCTCATCCTAAGATTCACGTCAAGGATGGTGGTGAACCCACTGACATCAAGCATAGATGACCCTTCACCGCTGAGCTGATGGCAATCTGTTGGCCAGCCTTTTGTCAACACTGGGTGCAAAGTCCTGTTTGAACTGGTGCTAGCTGAAAAACCTACTCTTAAACCATGCCCCCTTTCCCTGCCTCTAGACAAGGCATAAATTTATCCTGGTCTGAGAGGTTTTAAATCATGCTTTGAGGGGCCAGGAGAAAGGAATGTGTTATTACGAGGAATTGGTACTCCATGTTTGCATTTCATTAGCACTTAGAGGCCCCAGTCAAGATCAGCATCTGGGGAGATGTGACACAATGGTTGGGTGCAACAGTGAGAAGCAGGAGGGAACTTGAGTTTTAGAAGAGGTCACAGGAGGGCTTTTCCTGGCCCATCAGAGGAGGGCACCCCATGAAAGTAAGGCATCATGGAAGAAGGAGAAAGAAGCTGGCATGCTGGTGATTAATGGCAAAGGAAGGAAGGGATATGAGAGAAATTAGCTGTACAGGCAGATGGGATTTTGATGGAATAAAAGAGGGTCTTAAATATCCCAGTCACTATCTCACATCTCATTGAAACAAGATAGCTAAAGCCACTCTGAAAATGGTGCCAGCCAAGGTAGCCCATTCTCCCAAGTGCACAGTGCTAAAAATGCAGTTTTACTTGGAAGATGATGGGAAACACTTCAAAATCAAATGTGACAGGGACGACTTCATCCTTATTCTCAGAAAGAAGAACTCAAAATGTATAAGTGGTATTTGTTGATAGCCGATCTGCTAAAAGCATGTTTTCTTTGGATTCAGTATGTGCAGCAAATGGTAGAATGTCACGCATCGCCTACTATAAACATGCCTGTTGGGTGCCTTCGTGTTAGAAAAGGCTTTGACTATCAGACAACCTCTGTGTAGGTGCTTGCAGCTTTCTAGTCAACTCCAGTGGAATCAGTCAGTAGATAAAAGCATTGTTCCACCTCAGGGTAGAAGCTATCTTTCAGAAACAAAATATTGGGATTTGTTCAGCACTGTAACAAAATTTCTTACTTCTGTATGTCTAGAGATGGCTAAACAAAAATCATGCAGGAATCTTCCCCACTTTTTACAGGTTACAGGTAGTCTCTTTAGTTTTAGCCATTTAAAAATTAGGGACATATTCTCAAGACCTTATTGAGCTTGCTCTGCAGTCAATGTAGGGAGACAGACACCATCAGAGGGACTGTTTATCCCACCCATTGTGGAGATAAGTTGAGCTGCTTTCTGTGAGCAGCAAAGAGTGCCTTACGACTAAACAATTCACGTTTAGGCAGAGAAAATCAAGTTAAATTAACCTGAATCACTTGCCAGAGTTCACACAGCCCATCAGTGGCATGGTTCCTGAGCTGGGTACTGACTGGTGCCTGGGGTTCAAGCATGCATACCCTATTTTGACAGAATTTAGACCAAAACTTACCCAAACTAGGGGGCAACCAGAGATTGTAGTTTGGGTCTGTAGCTGCAGCCTAGCAGGTACATGCCGGACTTTGTAACAAAAACATTTAACAAAAATGCAGTGGTAGCAGTGAACAGAGAGCTCAGAGGACTTGCCAGATCCTCCCTGGCCTTACTTCTTCCCTCACATACAATACACTTACCAGTCAGGGAGAAAAACCTAAGCTATTCTGATCCCTATTTTCACATTTGTCTTTTCCAGCCACTTCCACGTCTACAACCGGGACAAGTCATCTCACAAAATGTGACATAAAGCAGAAAGCCTTCTGTGTAAATGGGGGAGAATGTTACATGGTTAAAGACCTCCCAAACCCCCCAAGATACCTGTGCAGGTAAGAAATCGTATTTGCTTACTTTGATGGAGCCACCAGGTTCCAGAAATGCTTTTTCTTTAAAGGAGCACCTAAACAATTTCTTCTCCTGTACCTGCGGCATTAGATACTTCTTCATTTTTAAGTATGTGGATGTGAAAATAACCTACCAGAAATGACCTCTGTGTCCCATATATGAGGCACAGCAGAGGCTAACCGGGAAATCTTCCCATGTGATGCTGGGACAGCAAACCCCACTGATGTTTACATGACATGAAGTAACACAACTTGAGCCTTATATTAGAAATAACAAAACAGGTACTGTAAACTCAATACACTGCAAATAGCAAAAAAGGTGTGTGGATAACTGCATTGGATATGTACCATAAAGGACAAACTGGTTATTTGCATTGTCTACTGTAGTAAATGAACACTTTCTGATAAGACCAGATTCATAGCTGGAGTTTTTGCTGTTGTGTTTAATTGCATCAAAAACAATTAATGTCACGGTAATTGGTGGAGGTTACTATTTCATGTTCGCATCTTGATTCAGGAAGTTATGTAAGTATGAGTTTAGTTTTAAGGGTGTGCTTGTGCACCTTTCTCAAGTCCTGGCCTGTGGTGTATCGGGCTGTTGCAATAGTCCATCATGTTGGAAAACATCCGTGAAGAGCTACAGCACTGGAGTTCTCCTCCTGCCTGGTAGCACATCACGTAGCATGGAGCTGAACTGGTCATAGTAAGTTACTGCCTATCTCTGGCTTCAGAGGAAACCCAGCATTTAAACCTTGGGAAACATCCTTGGGACCTAGCAGGACTGAGCAGAAAGGTGACAATTTTGTGAGAATATTGCTGGTTTTCAGACAGACAAGAGACAGCGGTCAGTAAAGACTATCATCTGCTGTCACTGCATAAATTTGCAGTCTTCTAGGACTAAAAATCAAATGACATTAACTGTAAAGATGACCCTGGTGGGTGAGGTAGGTGAAGGTCTATGACACTTTCATTATGCCAGGAAGGCACATACTGTTTGTCTCTGTTGTTAATTAAAAAACCCCAAACAAACCACAAACACCAAACCCCACAATGTTCTGTTTTACTTGTGAGATTTCTTTTTTTTTTTTTTTTGTAGAAGGATGTTACCTGTACTTTATGAGCTTGGTTTTGCTTTAGTTTTTCACAGATTGCTCTGTTGCTGAAAGCGATGAATATTTCCTTGATTTTAGAATCATTTTTAGCTAAAGTGAATATGGAAAAGTTACTGGTTCTGGTGGGTTGAATTCTTTTTTGAGAGAGAGAGAAAAAAAGACTTGTGTTAAATTTACATGATTGTCACAAGCCAGTGGTACAAGATGAGCAGTTTGCTGTGACTTTCCAGGGCATGTACAAGAGCCTACCTGCCTGTTTCAACTTCCTACCCAGACACTGCTCAGAAAACTCCAGGGCAGCAGAGCTGAGCATCTAGCAGACTTGCTAATAATTAGCATTGTCTTGACAGTTTCAGAAGTATTCAGTTTTCATTGGTATGTGGACTTGTTTTTTTTTTAAAATTCAGAGACCTGACTGTATTTGTTCTTTGATGTTATAGATTGGCTATTTTTTTAATTACATGTCTCGGAGACACTTGAATGAAGTGGGGATTTTTTTCCCACTTGTAGACAAGAAATAACCTTTAATTCTGGGGCTGGAGTTGAAAGAAAAGGCAATTCCCAAATTTGGCAGATGTTGCTCTCTTTGGGTGGCCCAAAACCTATTTGAAAAAAGCACCAGAGCTGTAAAATCAGAAAGGGTGAATCTCATTTACAGCAGGCATTGGAAAAGGATTCTTATCCTGAGGACAGTCAGGGCTGCTGCTATTTTGCAGGGCCCGTTGCTATGCTCTCTAATACTTGCAAGAACTGAAACTTTATGTTGTGTAGCAAAACAGGACACAATGCAGCCATGTAAGAAATAGAAGTGTGAGTACTTGAAAGTGGGTGTACAGGGAAACTGAAGAGACGAAATACGGTTCTCTTCTTATATCATTAAAAATACAGATGTCTACTTTTAATTCTAGTATTCCAGTGTTAATTAAAGTAAGTATCTAACCAGTACACATTGCCTTCATTGTTCTGAGAAAATAAATCTTCCCCCAGAACATGCCTGTGGAAACAGAATGCTTGAAATATGGTACTTGCTCTTCATATTTCTGCCTCAGTAGCAAGTTCACATTTTTCCATATGGTCCATCTGTTGAGAGCAAAAACAAAATTTCTAAAGCATGAGCCATATCATTCTAAATTGGTTTTATCCCTAACCAAAAAAACATGACTCAGATTCACAACAACCATGGAATTTTCCAAGTGATATCTCTAGTTTGTAAAGTCCCTACGCTATTTAAAAAAAAAAAAAAAAAAAAAAAAAAGGAGTTCCTAGATTCATCTCCTGTTAAAATCTAGCTATGTATTTAAAAAAAAAAAAAAAAAGTGTTTTGTAAAATGCATAGTATAATGATCCAGATTGGATAGGATCTTGCTCTCAGGGATACTTGGTGTGAACGTCAAGAAAATTCCCTGCTTTCACGACATAACCATGTGAAAAATTCGAGAAATGTGTGAAGACTTAATAATGCATTGTATGGCTACATCTATGGTAGCATGTATGTTCCCTACATGTATTTTAATTATGGCCCCAGACTGAACTAAATAATCTCAAAATACGAAAGATGAAAAAGGTAGCTTTGAGACTACTTTTAACAGTTGGACATGATGGTCTTAAAGGTCTTTTCTAACCAAAATGATTCTATGATTCTACTTAAATAAACTAGTGTATAAAATTTTCAGAAGTTTCATGGGAACATGAGTCACATTTTGAAAACATCATAGGCTTTGGAAGCCTGGATGTTACTGGCTTCCTATGAAACTGAATTTCCTAAGTAATTTCTGTTCAGTTGGAAATGTGTCTCCAAGTTCACTGAAGACAAAAAATCAGATAGGTTCTTCAATAAGTACAAAATTAAGACCATAATTCCTAGCATTTGCTTCTTACTTGATGAAAAATCAATATATCTGTTACGCTTTTAGAGTGTTCTTTTGAAGTATCCTACCATGAATGCCTTGCGGGTCTGACTAATTGATTCCTTACTCACAGATCATCTTTTCTAGTGCTTTTGCTGTTACTGAAGAAATGAATTTACGTCCGAATATCACTGGATGAAAATAATGCTTCTTTCTAGCAGAAGGATGGTGCTTCTTTTAACAGTAAAAGAAAGAATGATGTACTTTTTAGTAATATAGCCAGTTTCTATATCTGTCTTCATGTAAAGGCCTTGGTGGAATAGAAATTGACAGAAGATTCTTGAAAACAGCAAAAAGAGAAAATTTGTTTCCATGATGCTAGCAGAAGTTCCAGAGATATTTATTCAACAGGCAGGATAGAAATATTAGTTCTTACAGACTACGAAATGGACTATTACATATGGAACTGTAGTGTACTTCCCATGAAAAAAAAACCATTCTCCTACAATGCATTTGCTTATAGGCAGTGGATGAAATGGAAATGTGAGGTCCTGATCCATTCAGCCATTCCTTTCCTGCCAAAAAACACCAATGATATGCTTTTGATGTTCTGAGAGGTGCCTTCTGAATGCGTTCAAATACTGCTCTTTGCAACTACTGTCTATAAAGGAAAAAAGCAATTATCTTAGTAGATGTGGTTTAGTATTGTGGTTTCATCCAGTTAATACAATAAATAAATAGTCTGAGTAGTGTTTTTTTAGGCAGAAGGGAAATTATAAGGCTCTCACAACACAAATATCTACTTGCATAAGACAGCTCTGTTGCCCCAAGTTGCTTGACTCCAACTTCTGCTAGCGTCATAAAAGAAAATGGTACATGGGTAATGAACTAGAAAATACAGACACAACAAGAAATAATGTCTGGAAACTTTCAGTAGGACAAGGTGTTTTGAAAACACCACCATTGCAAGCTGTTTGTAAACACACAGTCTGCAGTAAACAACCTGCCAAGCAGCACTGGAAACGGTGCTGCACTGCATAGCTGAGCAATGAAATGTCATCAGCATTCACACATAATCATAAGCGAACAGGCTCCTCTCAGCTCTCATCTCCGCTAGCCCACCCTGGACCCCTTCTCAGCGGCAGGTGCTGCAGTCATTTGCTGACAATGGTTTCAGAGGAAGTATAAACACACCTGAACTGTTTTCAGCACCGTCTCAACCCTGCTCGGTCTGGAAGCGATTTCAGTGTTGTCTACACCAGTGCTTGAGTTGTTTTCGTCACCTCTGCAGCTGCACCAGCATCTGAAAACAAGTGCAGATGGAGCAAGCAACCACCACCAGGCAGTGGCAGGAGCAAAGCCTGAGGCTTTAATCCGCAGCATGTTCATGGGGTTGTGTAGGGTTGAGCCTGACGAACAAGATGTAGAGGTCCCTATGAAGTGAATGCCAACGCAGGTGTGAATGCCAGCTTTCCAGGGACAGGTATTTAACAAGACCACCATAGTGCAAAATAAAACTGAAATCATGGAGGTAAAACATTTTACTCTCATTCAATAACACAGATCAAAATGTCTTCTGTCAAAGGCATTTTGCCTTCTGTCAAAAATGCAAAAAGTCTTCTATCATGCCCAACAATATCATTTTTTCATGACAAAGTTATCCTTGTTGCATTTTTCTCAACTGATTTTATCTGTGGAGACTGGGATATCTCCATCCTGGGTACTTACCAAAGATGTGACCTTGGCTCTGAAGACCATAAACTCCCTTCCTTAATAAACAAATACATCATTACAGTAAATCAGCTCCAACGAATCATCTGCAGATCCTCAAAATATACCTTTATTACACAAAAACATTCCTGCATGGTTTATTTGAACAAGATACTAGTGTTTATTCCTGACACCGGTCCTCTCTCAAAGTGCTTTTCTGGAAATCCCACTTGTATAGGGGCAGCATCCCTGACCCTTAAAACTAGAGGCAATTGTGGAAGAGTGGAATTTAAAAAATCAGGACAGCTTTCAATGCACGTGAAACTCAGATGGATAGAAGAGGTGGAGGATTGTTCTGAACAACTTGCATTTGCAAATAAGAAGGCTCTTCAACCCCTGGTAAATAAATGATGAAGCAGTTTGAAAAAGGAGGCTAGCACCAGATCAGCAGCAGGAGAGGAAGAATGGGAGATTCTTCACCATGGCAAACTCATGGAGAGCATCAAAAAGACTGGCAACACAAGCAAGATGTATTCAAGGAAGCAGATAACAGGTTATTTCAGATTACACGCCGAGTAAGAGTGGATAGAAGAAGAAGGAGGAAAGATTGAAATCTATAGATGTTTAGCATGGTGGACAGTCATTCACACTTACATCTGAAGCAGAAGAGCTTGCACTGCCACAGTGGTATTTTGGGAGCAAACTCCCAAGCTCTGCCCCAAAATGCAGACCAGAGGTGAAGGAAGAATTCACAGCCAGCAGAAGAAGAAAAAGCAGGCAAAGCACAAAAGATAGATTCCTTCACTATGACCAAGGGGCAAGCTGCACTGAAGTTTTCTGCAGAAGAGGTTATGAACTGAAAGGGAAACAGCTGTGGGGCTTCAAATTTTGAGAGCACCTCTGCCCTCTCATCTTACTTATTAACTGGACTGACTATTTTTCCATTTGTCAGCCATGTTAAATATACATCCTGCCTTTGGGTTTGAGTTCGTCTTCTTACATTTTGGAATTTTTTTGGCTTTTCTGTGGTTGCTGTTTTAACTATTCCCTTTCAAAAGAAATTACTGGAAGACACAACATGCCGTTACAGAAATAGGGAAATTGTGGTATTTTCACAGACCGGTGAAAGCAACAGTGTAAACTGCTGTTATACACTGCTTTGCAAATTTTAAAAAAACCTCAATTTGATCCCTTCATGAGGTGGAATAAGCAATAAGCTGATACACATTTTTGCTAGCCCTGATTCTTCCTTCTTTTTCAAAACAGACAAACAAAAAGACTTCCTAGATTTTTTCCTCTGGTGGATTTTTGCTGTACATTTTGCGAAGTATTATCTTCCAGAAAGGTTACACTTTCTTGCCCATTTTCTGATGATTTTTCACTAACACCTAACCAGGAGGTCACTTATTGCACTCCCATCTCCATAGGCCAGCAGATGTCAGTCTGTTAGTGCAGTGGTTTTGGTGTACTATTGCTTATCACGTTTTTGCCCTTTAGGTGCCAACCTGGATTCACTGGAGCAAGATGTACTGAAACTCTGCCCATGAAAATCCAAAACCAAGAAAGTATGTTAAAATAATCTGAACTTTGCTTTCTTCCCCAACTACAGCAACAAAATCAATAGTACTTGGTGTTTTCACAGTTCAGCTGGAACCGGCCTCTTTATGCACTAATTTATGACCTGATTCTCTAAAGTAAAATCTGTACACCATGGCATTATTGACCTCCAAAATGTTTCTCATTTGTGTGATTTTTGATCTTTCCATCCATTTTCAGATGCATTTGTATTGCACACACTGGCAGCTTTCTTGTTTGGGAGACTGCTGTAAAGTGCAACCCTAAAAGAGCAAACTCACGGAAATGAGTGATGTACAGATCTTGTGTCCTCGCTGCCTTGTGGAAAGTGCATCCTAAAAGCAGTTTGGGAATTTGGAATGGTGAATTTCTCTCTCACATCTCGAAACACACTTTGATCTGGATTGGTTTGGTTTTGGCTGGTTTTTCGGAGGGGTGGGGTGGGATTTCTTTTCATTTCCACAGAGCAAATGAGTTGCTCTCAACATCTTGAGCCATTTTGACACACTAAACCGAGATTCAGTTTCTGAAAGTGAACTCACCAAGTCATATCAGTTCACACTGAAGGAGCTTCTTTCTTAGCATATATTCACCTCTTCTCTTTTCTCTGTTTTTTCTCTACCATTTTTTTTTGTTTGTTTTTCCTCTCAGGTGCCCAAATGAATTTACTGGTGATCGCTGCCAAAACTACGTAATGGCCAGCTTCTACAGTACGTCCACTACCTTTCTGTCTGTGCCGCAGTAGAAGCATGCTCAATCGGTGCTGCTTTCTTGTCGCTGCATCTTTCCTCCGATTTTTTTTTTTTTAATCTGTAACTAGATTTGTTGCCTATGGCCTAATATTGATTGTCTCTGCCTGTTGCATGAAAATGATAACAAAAAGCAATTGCAATACTCTCCTGGATTGTTTGGCATTGAGGTTATGGGGAAATGCAAGACTTAGGAACGCTGTAAAATTAGCACTGAATGTTGCAATACAGACTCCCTACTGACATCAAGCAGTAAAAGTGCAAAAATGACATTTTAGAAGTCTCATGTTTTATTTGCCACAAAAAGCTTATGAGTCTCTATACCAGGCAGTACTCCCCCAACAAAGGGACAGGTAGCTAATCCTCTTCTTGCATAGGAGATTTGTGTTCCGACCTACAAGTTAAAGGTAGTTGACATGCTTACATCGTTTCTAATGAGCACATTCCAAAGAGGATCAAAGTGTTCTTCCTCTTCATTGTCCAAGTTTCAGAGGAAAAAGTACAGAGAGAAAAAAGAAAAAGGGGAGAAATGGCATAAACAATGCTGTCTAGCATATTTATTTGTGGGTAACAGGTGCAAGAGATCAAGTATTTCAGAGCCAGATTAATTGGCCAAAGAAATGTACCAGACACACACACACAGAGGACTGTGTGTCAGACTGCTGGTAGCATCAGCACTGCAGTCACATATCTCATAAGCTTTCCCATGGAGAGACAGAAACAGAAAGTTTGTCATGGAGGCAACAGAAAGTACACTGAGTATTTATTTTCTCTCATTGGCTGTAGCAAAGTCAAAGGTAACATATGAGATCTTACATTTTAATGCTTGTGTACTATTCATAATTAATTGTCGCTGGCATCAGAATGTACTATGATCTACAAGCAGTATTATAGTAGCTATTTTTTTGATGGATTACTTGCCACCTCAGAAAGATTTCAGAGACTATAGGCTAGCTTAATTTCATTTCCATTAGTATTTAGGACAAAAAGCTGTTAGCATGTGCTCGACATTTTGGAGCCTGAAGAGATGCACAGGTTTTCTCTTATACTGATGGATGAAAAATGTCCATATATAATTCATACTGCCCATCATGGAAGCTACCCATGTAAATCCCAAGGGTGCTGACTGGAGACCAGACCTTCCAGCATTCAAGTGTGTATTTTATGCCCTGTTTTAAAAGCTTTATTAGTGTGAGTTATTTTTAAAATACCTCTGGTAACTATGGGTTTGAAAATTTTTATGCTGTTACAGTGTTTAATTTTACCAAATGTTAGATTTAAATGGCCCTTTCTGTAGATTGCAGTGAAAAGTGCAGTTAAGGTTTTCTGATCTTAGAAGAAACATTTAAAAGGAGGTGGTGTAAAACTGTAAGATCCATTGTTTGCTGCTGGATTAACCCTAAACTATGGAAGAATTGTATGTTGGTCACAAATTCATTTTCTTATCCAGGGGTGGGGGAGGGGGGAGGAAGAGAGAAAAAAAGAGGTTTAGGTTTTCCTTCATTAGTTTTTCGTTTTCCTAACTCTGGTTGGGATTTTTAAAGGAATCTTTGGGCAGTAAACACCAGGCTGAAATTTTCTGAAGTTGCCTCCATGGAAAAGGCATAGGTGCCCTTGCCTCGCTGCAAGAGTTAATACTCAGCTCTAAGTACTTAAGCTGGTCCAGCCCTCCTCTCCTTGAAATGCAGTGGCAAGAGAGTGTACCTCTACCTACCTCAGGCTACTCTGAGAGCCCCAGACAATGGCTATGACGCTTTGGCACTTCTGCCTACCCTGCATCTGCAGTATAACGTCAGGTTTCTTAACTGCTACAAATCTTAAAATGACACTTTTGGAAAGGGTCCAGTGAGGGTACATTTATATTTAACCAAAAAAAAAATCAATGAAGAAGCATTTATGTAACTTTTTATTATTACACCCAACGCAGACCAGAGCATACAATTAAAAAAGGGATTTAGAATAGGAGTTATCTTCAGGCAAATGTTGCATTGGGGGCTTAAAGCCAAGCTCATATGTTGCACCAGGTGTTGCGGGTGATTAACTTAGCTCTGTAGATGCAGCTTGTGCAAAGTACAGAGCAAACAGGGATGTTAAACAGCGTAAGTGCCAGTAGGAGACAAAACTGTACATGCAAACTATACAGTGATACGTAATTTTACTTGCTTTCAGAAGGGTCTTTCTTCATTTGGAAAGAAAGAGTCAATGGGGTTCCACGCCAAGTGTACCTACTGATGAGCTGTTACTGGCTTAAGGCTCCATAGTTGGCTGTTGAGAGAAACATAGCTTCAGACATCTGCCCTAGAGTTGGTATTTGTAAGAGTCCTGAAGTCGAGCTTTGCTGAGGGCCTTTCGCAAGATCAAAACAAGGCTGACAATGAGCATTTTGGAAATCCTCCATCCCAACAGAGTTCAAGGCTAACTGGCTTATCTTGGCAGTGGTTTGGTTAGCCCTGGAGGATTCAGTTGTCATGGTGCACTAGAAATAGGTTGGAAGGGACACAGGAAATTAGGTGGATGCCCATTCTAAGAAAAGTTCTTCAGAAATGTCTTTCCAGTGAGCATAACTGGGAAAGGACGCTGGGAAAGGGAGGCTACTGGTAAGCACATGTTTAGGCCGACTGTCCCTTGCCTAAAGCTTTGCAAACACACCAAACCTTAGGACAAGCTGTTGTGGCCAAGAGGTGATGACTGTTGGATTCCCTGCTACCACAGTCACCTCCAGCACTGCAGCTACATGGTTTTTCCCCTTCAAATGGTGCTTAATGCCACTTCAGACCAAGGGAAACTAAAGAACAAACTGTGCTAGAGTCTGGCTGGCAGACCCTGTAATGTCCTTTCTGTGAGCATGGCAGTCACAGTTGCTACCAGGTGTTTTCCCCATACCCTGGGTTTTTGAGGTTCATGGTCCAACATCAGTCCATAAGATACCAGAAGATGGTCCACAAAAGTGCTGCAAAAATACATCTGTTCCATGTGCAGATATATTTGCTGTAATTGAATCTTCACACATTCACTCCCTTGAAGGCAAGGAAGGCAGGCAAATGGAGGAAATTAAAGTAATGAATTAACATTAAAAGTTTTGGCTAATTTTTATGTAGCTATGCATGAGAACTCTTATAGCAACACTGTGCAGAATGATCCCGGGGATAAGAAACGCTAGCGGAGCCTCGGATTAATAGAAGGTTGAGGAAACTTCACTAGAGCATAATCACAGGTAAACTCTTTGTCCTCCCAAATGCCCCAGATGGGCCAAGGACCTCATGCAAAGGGCTGACTTGCTTACTTCACTGGTTAACAGTTACATATGTATTGTGAATATAGAACAACTTGTGGGGCATGCTGTGAGTGGTCTCGAATGTGAATTGAATGTGGTCCCTGCCTTCCTGAAGGCAAGTGTTTCAGCATGGGACACCAGTTTAAACTGTGTCCATTTCAGCTCCGCCATTGTTGGTGAGCAAGAGGGACAGTATCAAGAGGGGCAGAGGGAAATTTCTGTTTAGATGACAGCCCCTGTGTCATATTGTCAAGATGAATCTCGCTGAGAATTTAAAGGGGGCAAGAGTTGAGTAAAGCTATGATATTCTAGAGGGATGACCAAAACAGCTGTTACTCTGTAATGGCCTTAATTTTTCAGTCTTTCCTCATAAACTACACATCTTCAAAAGTCCATTTTTCAGCAATTCTACTAGTTCAATATTTCTCAATTTCTATATATTTCTTAAGTGGTCACATCTATATGAGAGTACTAGACAATCTTACCTGGGATTTTGATTTTCTAAAGGCTTTCAGCACCCCAAATTGTACTCTTTATGTGCTGAGACCAAGACTCCTAAATGATACAAACAGATTTGAAAAATGTCATTGTCCATCTTCTGCTCAAGGTTAAAGAAGATAGTTTTTCACTATAAACTGCTTAATTAATGCTCATTAAATGCTAAAATTGCTGTGATAAAATACTCTAATTCAGAAATGACATTTTCTGTACTTCTGAGACTTGAATCAGTTGTAGGATAACACTTGTACAAGAGCCATAATTACATGAAAAAGAAACTTTTTTAGAATTTCTTATTACCCACAGAGCACATTTAACAAGAAAACTGAACAATTACTTAAGAAACATGGCATCTTGATGCTTCAAAGGTGAAATTGGTCTCCCTGGATCTCTCCGCTGCTGCATGCAGTTGATCCAAATAGGTCCTTCCCTTGTCAGGAGCAAGGTTTCCACACAAACCTGCAACTGTGCTCACCCCTCACTGGGCAGCACCATGTCCCCAGGATACCCACCCACCTAACTCTACAGAGTAGCCACCCCAAAATCTTGGATGTCCAGCAGCTGTGGCACACCACTCATGAACACAGCGTCCAGTCCTGGAGCACCTGTTCTAGCATTTCCAGGCATCCTGCTCTTGTTCTGTAGACCCTGTACCCCAGCATGCTACAATATATCCAATGAGTTGTAGGTATAAGTCACTTTTGGGAAAAAAAAACTGCATCCCAAGCATTTTTCTTTCCAATACTGTCCCCACAAAAATCACATCCAGAATGAAAACTGAATTGTTAAAAATAATTAATTGTATTTCTTCTTAGAGCACCTACACAAGTATTCAACAGAAACCACATTGCATGTAAAAAGTATGCAACAATATTGTTTTAAATAGGAAAAGATCAAAAGTAATGACCTGTTTATAAAATGAGAAGTGTTGGGATATTCTGCTTTCTTTTAATCAGGTCTAGGGAATGTAGCTAGGAATACGAAAGATAAATAGGAACTACATGCCACCTAGGTTTGAATAAGCAATGCATGTTTCTTCAGCATGTTTTCTTGTTAGGGCTTTCAGCCAAAATATATTCCCATTTTAAGTACCAACTTCCCATTTAATAATTTGAAATAGAAACTGCATGATATGAATGACTTCCCCTAAAATTAAATTACATCCAGCTAGACATCTTACCTATAAGCAAGCATAAATACAGCAATATATATGCATGGGCATGTCATTCATTTTACTGAAGATTTAACCAAGCTTTCTATGCAACTAATGTGTTTCAGTAGCAGTGTTCATGTAGGCATGTAATACTGGATCTTTAGGAAGAGACCTGAATGGATTCCAGCTTACTTAACCCTTAAAATGTTACTGATTGGCAGGAGAGAATTGGCAATCCCTATGCGTAAAACCTTCATAAAAATCCATTTGGTCAGAAAATTAGAACTGGATTTAAATTTCTCAGCACATAAGGACAAAGAAAGTGAGAACTACCATGGCTATGGGGTTGGGCCCGTGCGAAGGGTCTCCTAGGGTACCTGCCGGGGGAAACCTGTGTTCCTCCTCACCCTCGGCTGCTGGGGCCTGGGGGTGCTAATTTAGGTCTGTGATCCCTGAAAATGGCATCAGCCTAGGCACTCCAGCGTGCACACAGCCAACCAATGGGTGGTCCTGCCCAAAGGCAGAGGAAAAGGGGTTGGCTCCTCCTTTTCCAGAAACCAGAGCCCTGCTGTGGTCAGCTTGCAAAGCTGAGAAGGGGTCCCATGGCTGAACAATCAGTTCTGCCACCTCCAGGTCACAACCCACAAAAGCAAGGAGCCGCATACCTGGGACAGGAGCAGGGCCAGAAGCGTGGGTAATGTATGACCCATTTGCAGTGGCATGCTGCCCCTTGTAAAGCATCCCTGTGCTCTCATGGTCCCATCTGAAAACAATCAGCGGTTTCACATGGCATCCTCAAGCCAGAGCGCTGTTCATCTCAGTAAGATCTTTAAGGGTTAATGGTTCCTGCTGTGTTTCCTGCACTGTGGCTGTTCAGATCCCCCATACATATTTTGGTGTGTAAACCTTACAGAAGGTCTGGTCATGTAGCTTACAGAGGCGCACTTAAGCGCTGCTCACATAACCACACGCCCCTTTGTCCTGTTTCATGTGCAGACACAGAATAGCCGTAACTCTCATATGTGATTTGTTTTTGAGTACAGTGTATTGCTCTTTTCTGAAACCTTTTCCTTTTTCTTTTTTTTTTTTTTGTCAACTTTCTGCATTGGCAGAGCATCTTGGGATTGAATTTATGGGTATGGACCAATCATTCCTTTTAGCCTGCAGATTTTAGAACCTGAGACATAAACCACCACCTTTTTGTTTATTTTTTTTTCTCCATCTCCCCTTTTCAATTCCTAACCAATTTCTTTGTGCTTTAGAAGGGATCATACAGCTATAACAACAACCCTTGTCAAAATGTTAGTGGAGCTCAGCTAACTAAAATGATAATAGCAATAGGATATTCCAGACTGAAGGAGTTCTAGCAGTTACTGAAGTCATGATAATATAGTACATTTATTTGTCTGCTGTGTAATTTTCACTAGTTTTGACATTTGCTTTTGCTAGGTTCTTCCAGGGTTGCTGGATTTTGGAAACATTGTAAGCATTAAGCAAAATTACTAACTAGTTTGTAAAGAAAGATAAGCTGTTACAGCCACTTAAAATTCTACAAATTTTCAGTTTTGAGCTCTCGTTTCCAAGTAAAGTTTTAGGTCTAAACCCACAGCTAAGTATGTAAATGATGCATATATATATGTGTGTAAATGATATGCATATATACATTCATTTCTAGATCTGTAAATTAGAAGTGACCTGGAAATTATTTAGGAACTTAAGTAGAGATTGACAGGTAGACTCCAGCTCCTCAAGTCAGCAAATATATTCAGTATTTCTAATACCAAACTCATATTGCACCCAGCCAAGAACATTGGCAGTGGGTACTATTTTTACACTTCAACTTAAATATAACAGATCTTATAAGTCCTCTTCATGAATAGACTGTACTTATCTGACTAACATCAGGGGTACAAATAATACATCTCTTGAATAGGTTAACTTGGAATTCAGGTCAGTTTTAGTTTGGAATCTCCTAAAATTGCTGGCAAATGAGAAGAAACAGCCGGTGATGCTTGTCACACAGCTTTAGTTCATGTTCTTATTAAAAATGCCCCCACAAAATGTCATTAGCTTAAGCTGTGAACTGTGGAAAACCCATTACAAGTCCAAATTTTAAAAATCTCTCACAACCCAGATTATTATTATTATTATTATTATTATTACTACAAGATAATATTAATTCTCACTCATAAATACCAGATTGTAGTAGAATGGCTACAGTAATATACAAGGAATTAAATTAAAATCCTTTTAAAAACTGACTTGCAAATTTTACTTTATATATGAAATAACATTAGCAGAACCACCTCTTGGAATGAAATTTCTGTAAAAATCCTGAGAGACCTGTAAGAAGAAAAACTTTAAACCAGAGCAAATTTGAGATCATATATATCATCAATTATGTATAAATTAGGGTGATGTGAAATTAATTGCATAATGTGCATGTTGGAAAGGCTGCTCATAGAGGGATTTAATATCTTGACTTAAGTCTCATGTTGATTTGATTTTTCTTAGCATTCTGCAGGAGGGAAAAAATGTATTCAAATGATTTTTAATACTTAACAGACTAAAACCTTTTCTAAATTCTTGTTGCACATACATTTCTCTACGGACTTTTCCCCAAGGCTGCTATTAATTTTTTTCAAGTTAGTTTGATAAGCAATGCAAACAGAGCACATGTTATTTGGCCAGGCATCATTAACTGACTCTGTAAATGTTAACACTGGTCAGAGAAAGAGGGCAGTTTTGGGGTGAGACCCGGTACAACCACGAGTGCCCCACAGGAGCTTGGTCCCTGCTTTACAAAACTCTTCTGGCCTTAAACAGAGAGGCCAAGGCTCGTCTGCTGCCTGCAGAGCTGTGGCCAGGATCCCTGCCCTGTCCCAGCCACCAGCATCCCCTGCCACCAGCAGCAGCCCTCACGGGACACCCGGGCATCCCCCAGTCAGCTCCCGCTGTGCCGGGCAGGGAGACCGCGTCAGCCAGGAGTACGACCAGGTTTACATGGGAGCTTGCTGGTTTGCCGGGCAAGATGTGCCATGACGCGTGTGCTTTCCCAGGCAGCCATTCCCACCATGGATTGAGGGAGGGCATGTGACGCTGCCATTCATGCATGCCGTGTCAAGCTGGATCATCCTAAGGGCCTCGTATTGAAGGGCACGAGAGGGAATTAAGGCAATGAAAGCAAACCCAGTGGTTTACCTCTCCATGCCCCTCAAGACCTACAATCGCAGCAAATGTGCTGGTGCAAGGAGCGGTGCTCAGGATTGCACCCACAGCCCTGCTCCCTCGCTGTACCCTCCTCCCCAGGTGTGGGTGACAGCCCAGGAACATCCAACACACAAGCGACAAACCTCAACCCTCTGGCAGCCTTAGCAAGGCCATCACTGGCCAGCCGCCCAACTCGTTTGCAAGAGCCTCAGCCTAGAGTAAACCTCCTGGAGTTAGCACAAATTTTCCCCAAGTATAAACGACCACAGTGTCCACTATTAATTAATCTTCTTCCTCCTCTCCCTTCCCCTCCAAGACAAATGGGTTGATACGTCCTTATTCATTTTGCTTTCACAAGCTAACAGCTGACAGCATGACCAAAAAAAAAATTAAGCATTTCAAATTTGCCCCTCAATTGCTTAGCACAATTCTCCTGTTTCCTGTGACACTCTCATAATACACCATTTCCATGGCTAACTAATAAGCGCTTTCAGAAGGGGCAAAAATGGGAAGAGGATCAAGTGCCACTAACTAGCCTAGGCGAGGAGTTATGCTGTATGAGAAATCCTTTCACATTCTGCTTCCGCCTTTTTTTTTTTGTGTCCCCAAGCATTTCTTCACTCTGTTTTTTCCAGTATCAAGCATGTTGTGCCAGGCCTGCAGTTGACTTCTCAATCCTTTAACCTTGTCTCTCCCTATATTTCACCTGCCTCTTTTTCTCTTTGTCCTGGTTTGGTTCGGTTTGGAGTTTCAGCCCTTCCTTCCTTCCTTCCTTCCTTCCTTCCTTCCTTCCTTCCTTCCTTCCTTCCTTCCTTCGACTTTCTGTTCTTGGAGTTATATTTTTGTTTTTCTTAATACATTTTTGCAGCATCCTAGTTTTACCAAACTTACTTCTTCCCTGCCCCTCCCCTTGTTAATAATAAGTGCTATTAATTTTGTCTGACAGTACTCATGACCTGTTTGCTGGTGTTTTGGTGTACAGTGTGTGTTTGGCTTGTAGGACAAATTCGTTCCACGGTAATGTGCATTGTATCAGAGAAATTAAGATTTCTTTCTGCTGTGTGGTTTGTTGCATGGAATATTTGCCATTTGCCCACAGCAACTTTAAAACTAAACTATATAAACCCAGGAAACACATTGAAGGAACGACTGCTCCCTCTTCCATAGGGAACATTTTCTCCTGAACTGGTGTGGCATTTCTGACAGCACATTATTTAAGTGCCTGAGCTTGGACAGAGACTTATGGCGCATGTGAAGAACCATTATGCCTCTCTGTACCTCCTGGTGAATTGTCCCACAGACCTTTTATGTTCATGTAAGTCCTT